TTACAAGACAATTCTTTATAATAAAATTCTATTCAATCGATAGACTTATAACGATTGAAAACAATGTTTTCGTTTGAGTTTGACCAATTCATAAAAAAAAAAAAAAACAAAAAAATAACTAAGACATGCGTGTCCATCAACCTTAAACAATAATCTGTCAATTTTATTTTTCAGTCTTTATGATGGTTGATACTTGATCTATCTCTTACTGTTACATCTCCAGGCAACGATGGGCTCTACTGCTAGTTTTGTATAAGCCTACAAGCAAAAACTTTCTATCTTCTGGCCAAATTGAGGTCTTGAAGATCCTACTTCACTGTTGGCGCTCCACAACTTCCTGTTCTTCATGGCTCTTAGTAAGAGTTGTCTTTTTTTTTTCTCTATTCTACCATTCACACAATCTTCGACTTGGATAGTTATTTACTGCCCACTTTGTGTCAGTTATGTGCAATGTGTGATACACGCTTCAGCAATCCATATCTTTTGACACATGACTGATGAGGCAGATGCCCCCCCCCAACAGTAGGTTGCCATTTCTTTTTGTGGTAGACCAGTTGCCATCCAAGGCTATAGAACCCGGTCTGTCCTGCTATTTAGCCATAGGTAGTGGGAGAAGAGGATTCATACCTTTCCCAAGGGTTTTAGATTTAAATCATGTTCTGGATTTACTAGAATTGACTTATTCAAATCTTTGATTCCTCAATCCCTGCCTAGTTATCCATTACTCCACAGTGCCTCCTTTTATTTATAAATTATAATAAATTGTTTTGTTTGTGTTAATAAATAAATCAGGAGAGAAGAAGAGGATTCATACCTTTCCCAAGGGTATTAGCACGTAAGTGAATGTAATGGATTAATTAATGGTTTACTTTATACTGAATTCTCCAATCGGATCAGCTATCCATTTCCTCAAATCCTCCTTTTTATTATAAATTATAATAAATGGTTTTGTTTGTGTTATTAAATCAGGAGAAAGAAGAAATAAAATATCTTTCCCAAAAAAATTTTGCAATTTTTGTTTAAATTATTTTTTGGAATTTAACTTGTTTTTCCTCAAATTTATCCATTACTCCACAGTTAATATTTATTTAATTATAATAAATTGTTTTGTTTGTGTTAATAAATAAATCAGGAAAGATGAAATTCATACCTTTCCCAAAGGTACAGTTAAATTTTTGGTATGAATGTTCATAGATTGACAATTGAACTACCACTCTCTGATTCCTCAATCCGGAGCCATCCATTACACAACAGTTGCCTCCATTTTATTATAAATTATAATAAATTGTTTTGTTTGTGTTAATAAATAAATCAGGAAGAAACAAGAATTTCATACCTTTCCCAATATTAGCACGTAAATGAATGTAATGGATCGACTGCCTTTCACTCGAATCTCTGATTCCTCAATCCAAATCATTTATCAATTTCCTCCATTTTATTATAAATTATAATAAATTGTTTTGTTTGTGTTAATAAATAAATCAGGAGAGAAGAAGAGGATTCATACCTTTCCTTTTATATTAGTTCGTAAATTGTAATGGATTAAATTGAATTCCCAACTTCGTTAATGATTCCTCAATCCGAGCGGCTATCCATTATTCTTTCTTGCCTCCTTTTTATTATAAATTATAATAAATTGTTTTGTTTGTGTTAATAAATAAATCAGGAGAGAAGAAGAACATTCAAACCTTTCCCAAATATTAGCACGTAAAAAAAATGTAATGGATTGATAATTCGAACTCTCTTTGATTCCTCAATCCGATTGGCTATCCATTACTTTGCCTCCTTTTTATTATAAATTATAATAAATTGTTTTGTTTGTGTTAATAAATAAATCAGGAGAGAAGAAGAGGATTCATAAAAATCCCAAGGGTATTATTACGTAAAAAAAATGTAATGGATTCCTTTAACTGGAATTGAACTCGGCTCTCTGATTCCTCAATCCGGCTGGCTATCCATTACTCCACAATGCCTCTTTTTTATTATAAATTATAATAAATTGTTTTGTTTGTGTTAATAAATAAATCAGGAGAGAAGAAGAGGATTCATACCTTTCCCAAGGGTATTAGCACGTAAGTGAATGTAATGGATTCCACTTTTTGTTAGACGGCTCTCTGATTCCTCAATCCGTTTTCCATTACTTCCTAATGCCTCCTTTTTATTATAAATTATAATAAATTGTTTTGTTTGTGTTAATAAATAAATCAGGAGAGAAGAAGAGGATTCATACCTTTCCCAAAGGGTGACGTAAGTCCTCAATTCGAACTCGGTCTCTGATTCCTCAATCCGTGGCTATCCATTTACTCCACAGTGCCTCCTTTTTATTATAAATTATAATAAATTGTTTTGTTTGTGTTAATAAATAAATCAGGAGAGAAGAAGATTTCAGGGTATTAGAGAAGAATGAATGGATTCAACTACCTTTCCTCAAGGGGACTATCCATTACTCCAACAGTGCCTCCTTTTTATTATAAATTATAATAAATTGGTTTGTGTTAATAAATTCATGAGAGAAGAAGAGGATTCATACCTTTCCCAAGATTCCTCAAAGTCCGTAATGGATTAAGACTGGAATCCAACTCGGCTCCATTCCTCAATCCCTCTTTTTCCAATTATAAAATTATAATAAATTGTTTTGTTTGTGTTAATAAATAAATCAGGAGAGAAGAAGAGGATTCATACCTTTCCCAAGGGTATTAGCACGTAAGTGAATGTAATGGATTCGACTGGAATTCGAACTCGGCTCTCTGATTCCTCAATCCGAGCGGCTATCCATTACTCCACAATATCACACCAGGTAACCACTAGTAACATTGTGATAAAAGGATATTAGTCCAACTATAAAAAATGACTAATTCCAGAAATTCAGTATATAGATATTTTTTGAAGAACTTCCTGTCAGCAAACTTTTTTAATTACACCAAGGCAATGTTTTTGTCACCGCCTGCACTGGAAGAATGTGGCAAAATACAAAGTCCAACCTGAGAACGTCACTGAAACAAATAGCAAATTGAGGACCAGATTTGTCTTCATTTGTTGCTAAAGTACCATAATAGTGATATACACACTGGCACCAGCAAGAACTGAAATTGGCAGGTCCAGTCAATGAAAGACATGGCAAAGTTTCTGTTGTTTGTTCACAATAAAAATAAGTTATGACACATGGGAAATGTTTGTCACAATTTGTAAAAAAAGAAAGAAAAAAAAAGTTAAGAAACATTACAAACTCATTTGTCTAGAATACAAGGATGTCATATCTGTAGTTTTAAAGCCTTTCTATAGATGGAACTATAAATCATTTCAGATAAAAATTTAAATTTGGATATGAACGGCAAACATTGCTTAACATCACTATCAGAAAAACAAATTTCATTACTGGGAAATCCATATTGTCAAAATGCACAAGTTACACACATTACCTACAAACTAATAAAAACCAAGAGAAATTGAGTAAAGTTTTATCAAAATCATTACAAAGCCTACAGAAGAAAATTAATTTTCAGAAAACATCTGGAATTTTAAGAAAATATATAAAAGGAATTAAACTGTGCAGATATTCAACAAAAAAGGTATGGTGAAAATTTTCACCTGTAAATACTGTTTGATTAAAAAAAAAAAAAAATTGTATAATAGGCTTGTACTTCCTTTCATTACCCCTGATAAATGGACTGTGTTTTGGTCACATGGAAAGACATTTGGTTTTGGTGAGAAAAAAAAAAGAGGGGGTGGAACGATAGAGAGAATCAGATTAAGCTAAGAACAGATCCTACATTTTGTCCCCAGCCAAAAATCCAATTACCTTAAATAAAAGGAAACTGTCCGCTTAATTTTTTTTTTAAGATAAATGCCTCTATTATGGCTAGAAAAGATATATTGAAAGTGCCACGATCTACAACAGGTATTGGCAACCTTTTGCCAGGTGTCGACCAGGTTTTAAAACACATTTTTATACAAGTCACGGTCAATATACTTGTTCTACAATATATTTTATATAGTAAAATAGTGTGTGTGTATACATACATACATACTTTAATATATAGGCAAATTAAAACAGCTAAATACCTTCTTTATAGTTATTGATTTGGACTTTGTGATGTCATTTGCAGCTGTGTGCCATTGGAAATTACTTGGTGTGTCACAGGTTGCCAACCTGTTTTAATCAGACTAAATTTGTTGGTGCAACTACACATGAACACGAACAAAGGATGCTGGAAATTTAAAAAAAAAAAAAAAACAATTTCATTTAGATTCTTTTTCTTTTCACTTTTGTTATTCGATATCCCACATTTTGAAAATAGATCTGCCAGGAATGGTGAATATTGTAACATAATAATATTGCTAATTCTTCTTTGGATCTTATCAAGGTGCTCAGGGTAAGTCGCTGGAGCACCAGACCATGTGTCAGCGCTATTTTAAGCCGGGTGTCAGCAACCTTTTGCTATGTGCCAACTTATAGTTTTAAAATCATTTAGTGTGCCAACAGCATATATATTTTCATATCAGTCAAGGTCCATATGTCTGCTCTACAATATATTTTATATAGTATATATTAAAATTGAAATGGCTAAATATCTTCACGTTGCAGTAGTTATTGGTTCGGACTTTGTGATATTGCAGCTACATGTCATAGGTTGCCAACACCTGATGTACAAAACCCGTGCTTAAACTTCAGCCAGTATCCTGGTATTCAGATAATGTGGGCTACACACACACACACACAAAAAAAAAAAAAAAAAAAAAAAAGGTGTACTTATTGCATCAGAAATACAATTTTGGCATAATGCTGACATAAGAAGTGGGTGTGAGGCTGGCCACCACTATCCTAGCTAAAATAAATTACAAAACATTCAAATTAAAATATGCTAGGACCTGTTCACCCCACAAATAAAAACAAGACAAATTATTGAAATGCTTAAAGAAAAACAAAAAATATTTTGGTTTTCTTAACAAATCTTTTATTTTGTGAGGCATTTATAATCAAGGAAAACCTTCAAGCAAGTTTAACTCCAGTTCTCTGCTGTAGTTCCACCCCACTCAGTAGCCATGGTCCCAGCAGCCGCAGCAGTTGCTCCAGCAGTTGCCACGGTGGTGGTGGTGGTACCAGCGGCTCCAGCACCACTAGCAGCAGGGACAGACCATTCAGCCTCGGGGACTGACCAATCCTCTGTGGCTGCACCATAAGAAGTGATAGGGACAGCAGAAGCACTGGGGACAGTCTCACTGGCCCAGTCAGTCACGTCAGCTGTAGCTGTTCCCAGGTCAGCACCAGTTGGCCAGGTTTCAGTGACATCTTCTTTAGCAGCAGCCTTCTCGAGGGCAGCCTGTTCTTCCTTTTCAGCCTCTTCGGGATCTCTGTAGAAGTAGAGATCGACCATTACATCCCAGGGGTGCTCACGGCTGATATTACCCCGAAGACGAAGTACTTCACGGGCAAGCAACCACCACATCAGACCAATGGAATGGATAGACTAAAAAGAGAAAATAGACATTATGGTGAAAGGCAAATAAAGCAAAAAGTTTTCATGATTTTTGAAAAATGTTCTAACCATTTTTTTTTAGTTGTGTGTCAGCTTGAAATGATAAAATAAAAAACTAATTTGGTAACATCAACTAATTAAGCCAATACCCCCCAAAATCTAATTTCCCCCACATTCAATCTAATGTCTTCATCTTTGATCCTGCTATTGTTGCAATATGATTTCTCACACATCATTAGGAGATTGATAGATTTTTAAACATAAATAGGAACAGACAGACACTTCTCACTTTTAAATAAATTCAATGACCAGCGTTTCTTAGGAATCTTGTCTCCAGCCCACCTTTGAATCATCGAATAAAGTTGGGTTTATGTTTTTTGATAGCCATAAAAGTAGGTCCTTCAAAAGACTAACCACCCAAAACCTGTTTGGGTGGCCCCCTCTTCCGGTTTGGTGGAACACTAGTGGACAGAAAGAAGTGATGGGTCTGCCAACCAGTATTCATATGAGTGACCAGTGAAACAGCCAGGCAGAATGTGTGTAGGGGTCCATTTTTCTGTGCTGGGAACTTGGCGAGAAGTCAGCTAGTTCATTCTCATAAAAGATGTAAGTTATTGCCAATTAAGTGAGAAATCAATTTTTTATTTTTGCTATTTCCCAACCCAACAAGTCTCTTGAAAAGTATGTCATTATTTCTTTGCTGACAGTGTTCATGGCCATAACCGAGATGACCCTGTGGAGCATATAGCAAGCGCCACTGTCTTTTCTACATGAAGGAAATCGATGATCACTAGTGTTACTATTCATCCAGGACTGAATATGGAAATTGGTTTGGTTTATTTTGTTTTATGTCATATCAACCTCAATAGGTTATTTAATGCCGACAAAATCTTTTATGGCTGGTAATAGTTAACTATTTGCCCATAGCTGGGACCCTAACGGGTGCTACCACCCCGGGTCAGGGTGGACCTGGGAACACCAACAATTAAGAGGTGGTTCCACGCTCCTCAAAGCCTGATCAAAGGCCTTGCTGCTGGACGTAGTTTAACACCTTACCCAGGATGCTACACATAGGGAGTCAGGTGTGATGCGAAATCTGATGACCCTCAGTTGACCTTTTTGTCGGATTCCCATTTTAAGTACAATATGGGCAGTTATGTTAGCTACGAATTGTGAATGTTCCTATAGCCATTCTACTGTCAACTCTTAAAAAAAAAAAAAAAAAAAGTTCATATTATTTCTAGTATTAAGCTTAACTAAATCTGCCACCAGCATAATCCACACAATCCTCTCAACGAGTTTGCTAACAGATCAAAGAGAAAGAGGAACTTCTCATTCATAAAAATCAGCAAAACTTAAGTGAATAATGTTATTCATCATCATGACGGTTGTCTTCGAGTATAGAATCCAGAGGTTAGCAGTGAATATTTCGAAGATAGTAGGAAAGCGTTGTTCAGGTCAGCAGTGGATATTTTGGTAAAAGTAGCAGGGCATAGTTCGTCCTTCTGGTTTTCTTCGCCTGATAAGCTGGACTGGACATTCGGGTAGAGTGAACAAAAATGGCCGCCTTTTATACACGATGAATTGAATGTTCTACGTCTTCTGATTGGTTAACCTTCTATTGGTGGACTATAAAGGGAGTTAAGTCAGTTTGACTGGCTCACTATTTATATGTACATATACACAAAAAACTGCAATAAACAGAACCAAAGATGCACCATGCCTATACCAAGTAGGTTTTTTACTGGAGAGGATTTGCTAGCCTTTTAATTCAGACTTCTTATATAATAACTGTTGCTAATCAAGGCTGGAAAGCACAGTCTGCCTAGTTATTTAACCCATAGCATGGAAAGAATGTTTATACTTTTCTCCAAGGATATTTGTGCTAAATTCAAAGCAACACACTCTGGTGGAATTTGAATCTGCATGCCAATTCAAATTTCTGCACCAATAACCACTTACCCTACAAACATATCAACAAACTAAAACTACTTTCTGGCTGAACTTTTAAGCCTGGTAATTATTATCCTACATCAATTTGTTTGAACTAGTGTCCTCATCTTTATTGTTATCACCATGTTTCAACTGATATTTTCTAGCCTTTTTCAGGCACATGTAGTTGGTCATCTGTGGTTTGGTTTATTTTGTTTTACAGCATATCAACACCTCAATGGGTTATTTAATACAAACAAGATTTTTAGGATAGGTTTGTATGAAGAGAATATGTATTCCTTGTAAGAAATCAGTTTGTAGATCAGATTTGTTGAGAATCAAATCTATTGCTGGTATCAATACCAGGCCATAACTAAGATAAACCAAAAACTTGGAAAGTCGAGTTAAAGGGAAATAACAGACATCCAGAAGAGGCGTGGCACGTGGAACAATCTACGCTGGTGGATGAAATAAAGAGTTTGGTTTAAAATTTCAATCACCTGAAAGAGGCTGGAATGTACAATGGTTGAAATATTGTGAATATGGCAATGAAGATGAGTGTAACAGTCTGTAATGCTATGAGGAATATTGGGGGTGGGGATTACTTGCGTGTATTATTCATTCATGACACATAACGAGCCTCACCATTTCGGCAGTGGCAATTAAGAGAACATTACAAGAAAATTTAGATTGCAGAATTAAGCTTGATGCCTTTTTCTATTTACCAAGAAATAAAGGAAGCAGCTTACCTTGTTGTTACATGGGATGGCAATGTCAATGTATTTAAGAGGTGAATCCGTGTTACACAGAGCAATGACAGGGATGTTAACATAGGATGCTTCATTTACGGGTTGGTGATCAGTCCTTGGGTCAGTGACAACCAATAGACGGGGCTCCCGGAAAGCTTTCTGAAAAAAAAAAAAAAAAAAGAGAGAATCGGATTGAATTTGCTGCATTGTACACATGGCTTTCTGAAATCTTAAGTTGAATGATGCGCCGTATTCCACAGGAATCATTATCTCAGCTTCTAAATTCTTTCCAAAAAGCTTCAAAATTCAATTATTTTTAATATTATATATATATAAATTAATGTTCTACCTGAATCTGATTGGTGAAGGCACCAGGAGTGAATCGACCAGCAATGGGTGTGGCTCCAGTGGCTGAAGCAAACTTCAGCACAGCCCTTTGTCCATATGGGCGGGCAGAGATGACACACACATCGGCAGGGTTTTCAATAGCAGCAACAGCCCGAGCAGCCAACAATAGTTTCTCCCATGTCTTACGCAGATTGATAATGTAAGTACCTGGACAAAGAGGTAGAGAAAATTCAAAGTAGAAATTGAAGATTTTAATATGAATTTATCAACTAAAATAATATATATATATATATATATATATATATATATATATATATATATATATATATATATATGCATATATATATATAATGACTGATGAAGTATATATATATTTTATGTATAATTTTTTTTTTTTCAAATTGTGACTGAAATGAAGTCCACTTTAAAGGATGAATTTTATTTTACTTTTAATTTTTTATGTATAAACAATGCATTTTTTCAATTTTCAAATTGTCAATGCATATATCTCTTATGGAGGAGGCCGGATGCCTTGGATAGTAGCAGCTATAGGAATCGGAAAGCCACTTTAAAATTCATGAATTTTATTTTACTTTTTCCACCATTGAATATGTGCAATTGAATATATGCATTTAATGTATACATTAAACAATGCATATATTCATAAACTATTACAATTATTAATCATTCTAAAAGCCACCATCTAAAACTACAAAAATTACTGAAGGTGTATATAGTAAAATTCAATATATGTTTTGTGGGCACAAATGTCCAGATATATTTCTTCGCTTTTATGAAGAGGACCAAAGAGTCCTATCATGGGGTAAAGACGTTTATCTTTTGATGTTAAGTTCAATTGTGTTCCCTGTTGTGCATTCTCTTTTGAGGAATTTCATTAGACAAGCCAAAATGGGTCTCAGTCTTTCTAATATCCATTCAACATATTTTCAGGAAGGCACAAAATATTAAAAAAAAAAAAAAAAAAAAAAAAAAATACCGGGTTTCCTTTTGTAGAGTTTGTTCCATTTGGAAAAACATTAGTGGCGAGATGAGTTCCACAAATGGGAACTATCTTCTTTCATAACAAGGGCATCCAAACCTCGGTTATCTTGAATTGGTCATATAGATTATAAGCATTAAAAAATAAAATTAAAAAAAAAAAAATTTAAAGCAGAAATTTTTCAATTTTTTTCCCTATGCATTGTTTAAAGGAAAATTTAAATAAAAAAAAAAAAAGTTTCAAGATACATTGCCTTTAAAAACAAATTAAACAATGCAAAACAATATATTCACCTAAACTATGTATAATTATTAATCATTCTAAAAGTTGGGGAGGAAGAGAGCACCATCTAAAACTACAAAAATTACTGAAGGTGTATATAGTAAATAGTGTTGTCCCACAGGAAAATAAGGTCTGCGGTTCTATTTTTTTTTTTTTAAAACATTTTTTGGAAATAATAAATGCCAAATTTTGCCCAGAAACAGGGCCTCTTATTTCTTTTACGAAAACCCTTTTCTTTGAAGATTCTTTTTCTTTTGAACAATAGGGGACCAAAAGAGTCCTATTGGGTTGGGGAAGGGGTAAAATTGTCTCTGTTAATTTGGACACCGCGTTAAGTTCAATTGTGTTCCCTGTTTTGCATATCAGGTAAAACAAATAAAAAAAACGCTGCTAGAACCCTTTTATTTGTTTGACATTAGGGTGAAAAGAAAGCTAAAGATTGTCATTTTTATTATGTCTGTCCCCTCCCAAAAACCAAGGTCTCAGTCTTTCTAATTATCCAGTGACTGAAACCCAGTAACATATTTTCCAGGAAGGCACAAGAAACTTAAAAAAAAAAAAAAAAAAAAAGAACTGTGAGAAAATAGGGTGAAAACAATCAGGTTTCCTTTTGTAGACATATTGTTCCATTTGGAAATCAACATTAGTGGCGCCGAGATGAGTTCCACAAGCCAGGAACTTCATCACGTCATCTTCTTTCATAGCAAGGGCATCCAAACCTCCGGACATCTTGAATTGGTCACTTTAGAGTTACGGTAAGCAACACTAAAAAGAGAAAAATTTAAAAAAAAAAATTTAAAGCAGAAAATTTAATCATTTTTTTTCCCCTTCATTCCTCAATTTGATGCAAAGGAAAAAAAAATAAAATAAAAAAAAAAAAAAAGTGAAATTTCCCTAAGGAAAGAAAAATTCCTTGCCTTTAAGACCAAATTGTTACTTTAATATGCCAAAACAATTTTACCCTCAATACTGAATTATTTTACCTATATGTCCTGTGTGTATAGCTACAAGTGTATATATGAAAAAGTTTTAAACAGGCAGGCCACAACATTGTCAGACAGTTGGGGAGGAGAGAGAGCACCCAAAGGATAAGAGGACTGTACATTGTATGCAACATGGCTGTTTGGAGTTGTTGAAAATTTATTTAATATCCCCATAACAGTTTGCCTCATTGTATATAAAGATACACACAGATGGGGGTTGCGGTTTGAGCCGATATAATACAAAACCCAAAATCAGTAATGAAGACAGTGCATCACTGAAGACCATCCTTGACACATCAGAAATGTATTATTCTACTATATATAAGTGGCCGGAATGTTAAACTGAACCCTTTATTTCGCTCACTGGGGTAGACTGTTCTAGTTCCACATGCCATGTCTAATGGATGACAGTTATCTTCTATTAATTCCTTTCTGAAAGTTCTCCACTGTCTCAACCAGGTGTTGACTCATACTCTTTGGGTCCTGTTACTGGATCTAACTAACGCCTTTATCCAATGTGCCATGCGTCCTTGGGAACTAGAACAGTCTACTCCAGCAAGCGAAATAAAGGATTCAGTTCAACATGCCAGCCAATTGAAAAAGGCCAGAGCGTACAACAGCCAAAATATTGTGATAAATATGGCAACAAAGATGAGGACAATAGTCCGAATAATGGAAATAATACCTCATCGCAGAAATATAGTTAGAAAATGAAATCAAACATTCAATAGATTAGAATATGTTGTGGAAAGAATGAGATTGTTGTATTAGCGTATAAAAATATAAGGCTTTTGTTAGCATAAAATCAAAATAACTATTGAAACAAAAAAAAAAAAAAAAAAAGTACAGTAAAATCTCATCTGTTGTTGCTCTCCCAAAGACATGCCATCACCTCACTGTCTTTTTTTTTTTTTTTTTTTACAAATACTTTCATGGTAACTGCTCCAATGAGCTGCTTTTGCTGATTCCCAGACTATAAGTTTGCACATTCTACTTGGCTGGCATCTCGCTCTCAATCCTTCACTGTTGGATATGGCCATCTCTTCTTCTCCAACAATTTCATGTCTTGCACTTCTGATCTGTGGAACTCCCTCCTCTTTTCTTGCTTCCCTGATGGCTGTAATCTCCAACTATTCAAGTGTAATGTCAATCGACGTCCCCAGATGCCTTGATCTATTCCCTATCCTTTCCTCTATCACTCCTATTTGCTCTCACTCCAACTCTCTGTAACCCCTTGCATGCTAGTGGCTTCCCACCTTGCTTGAGGTGAGACGCTTATATAAAAAGAAAAAGAAAAAAGTCAAACCGATGCCTTACTTTCTTACAGATAAAAATATTTCCACAAACAAGATTTTGTTGCCTAACATTCAGGAGAACTTCCTCTACTCAGACAATTTGTCAAAATCGAAAAAAATGTTAATTTCAAGGGGGCAGTTTAAATACATCAAACTAGTCCCCAACTTTTTGACATGCAGTTTTCCTTCCTCTTTCCGAGAACCAGTCTATTAATTATTGCCGTTTTAATCTTTTAAATATTAATTTCAACCTGACATCGATGTTTCTTAGTAAAGTTTCCAGTCTTCAGGGTTTGTGGTTTTGAACAGTATTTCCAACACACACACACACACACAAATATGAAAAAATTCTTCTGGGGGATCAATTTATTACTTGGTAACAACAGAAAACCAATCCCCCCCACTTAATGTTCAGCTGAACCTCATTAACATAAGTTTTTACCAAGGCTGCCAAAAAAATGTAACCTTTTACATCCTATTAGATTTTCACATCTGAATTCCAATTACCTCAATTGATAGTAACACACCTGAGGGAGGGTCAGTTTATTATTCAATAATAGTTTACCCAATCAAAAAAAAAAAAAAAAAAAAATGTTGCAATGTAGCTCTTTCAAATAGTGCCTAGTCAAGCTAAGAAAAAAAAGAAGAGAGAGAGATGGATGGGTCTCCCAAAGATGAACCTTGGCAAATCTAACAAGTAATAGTTTAAGGAAAGAAATTGTTAAAGAGTTGACAAGACATGCATTGTAATACAAATCACAATCACTTCACTTGCAGCTCTTTTCTTTTTATGTTGCATTGTTTACGACCGATCAATGATACAAAAACAAAGGCCGGAGATACACAATGCAATGAAAGGAAAATATTCACAAGAATTTTGGTGAAAGTGGACCAAAGTACAGATTTTGATACTATTCACCCAGAACTGAGAGAATGGGGGGGTGTCCAGCATTCACTGCCATATAAGCGATCAGATATCACATAACAGTTCAGTACTCTTTTCTTTAACAAAGAGATTCTATTTCTTAATACTCTGCTTAGCTTTTGGAATGCATCTTTTGCAATCCCAATGCACCTTCAGATTTCAGTGTTACATTTCTGTCCTGTTAAAACACTTCCCTGATATTACTGAAATAAAATCCATGAGTTTACGTTCAGTTTTAATTGCCATTTTTTTCTTTGTTAAAAGCAAGTCTTACTTGTAAAGTTTTGACTTAATAAATTTTCAAGTTTCCTATTAGATTTAATTTTTGGTTAAGGAAATTTGAAAAAAAAAAAAAAAAAAAAAAGATTTTAAAAAATCATATCAGAAGGTTGGAGGAGGAAGGTATTCATTACAGCATCAAATTGATTTTTTAAATAAATATCTTTACCATGTGCTTATTTACAAATTTCAAACAAGGACTGATTTACCCCCCCCCCACACACACACATTTTCCTAAATTTTTTAGGAGACAATATGAAGACAGTTTAACAAACATCAAGATAAAAACATTAGCATTAAATGCCAAACTGTACCCAACACACTTGTAGACTATAGTTTAGAGTTAATATCTACTTAAAAACAACATCCGTTAAGCTGTACAAGCTTTTCCATAATTTTAGAAGAATTAACTAACAACATAATGTAAAAATAAAAACAATGGTTGCAGAAATAAAAAATAATTGTAGGTAATTGTTTTAAAAATTCATTTTTCATTGAAATATCTTTTTGCTTTCAGACAATATTGTCCATGTTTATTGGAATAAATAAAAAGCAATTAAAAGCTTTTGAAATTAAATAATATTTTTTGTTTTATTGAGTTTTTTTATGTTACACTTCAGAGACGATTTTCAGGTAGAAGGGCTCCAACTAAAAAAAAAAAACAAAACATGATTTTGTTTCCTCAAAGCATTGTGCTTTTAACTGATATAATCACTGAACTCCTCAAAATTGAAATTATAGTTTTCGTACAATTAGTTAGAGCGGGTAAATACATATGAAAAAAAAAAAAAAATTTCTGCGATGACTTTACTAAAAAAAATGTATTTATAATAAGTTCCATCATTTGTAAATAGTTTCTGAAAATTTCATTAAAATCCGACAATTATTTTCATTTTTACAAGATTTTCCAAATTAATGTGTCAAACGGGAAAAAACGTGCCAAAATGTTTATACGTTAATTTATCAGCCAAGCTGATAAAAAGAGAAACAAGGTCTTTTAATCAAAATTTACAATGTTCTAAAAAAGAAGGAAAAATTTCAAAAAATAAGTAAAAAATACTTTGATCTTTCCTCTAAAAAGTAACATAAGCATTTAGACGCGAAAATTTTGTTTTCATCAACTTTAGCATCTTTTTAATCATGCTATGCTCTTTTTTTAGCGATCCAACGGAGTATCCTAAGTTAAATAGTCAAATGACCACATGTCAAGAAAGTTTTACTCCCACATATTCAGAGCACTGAACAATGACAAAGATTTCAATGATAAATCTTGGTAAAAACCTTTATGTTTAAGCACAAGTCTTTGGCAAATTTAAATCAACTGTTTTTGGTCAAACAGGAAAAAGAAAAATCTGCTGCGAATCGAAATAAAAAGTGCAATAAAACAGACATTATTTAATTCATAAAGCTTTTAATTGCATTCACCAACAATTTTGATAAATGATAAAAATTTACAATTGTTTTGCATTTTTTTTTTTTAATTTTGATTTATAAAGTTTTAAATCTTAAAATTCTGTATTATTTTTTAGGTTGGGTGACTTATCAAGTAAAAAAACTATTCACTAGAAATGCTTAAATGTCGGTGACCTCCAATATTTTAAAAAGAATTTTGAATTTTTTGTGACAATTTCTGTAAATAGACATTTCATTTAACTCACGATCAAAAAATAATGAATGCTAACTACAATAAATTTAAAATGAGATATTTATTTGTAACAGTTCCCCATCAAGGGTCTTTGTAAGCCAAATTTAAAGTTCAATAATTTAAAAAAAAAAAAAAAAATTTTAAACTTTACTGAGTTCTTTAAAAAAGTCACGTGTTTTAATTAAAGTAATTGTAAAAACTAAAGCTAAAAAAGCTTCAAGAATGCTTTTTCATTTTTAAAAATTAATTTTAAACCTTGATAGCAAAAATTCAGTCAGTTACAGGCTTAGGCGATCATGTATCCTTCGATACATGACTAAAGAGACAGATTTTTTTCCCCGCAGTAGGTTGCCATTTATTTCTGCGGTAGACCAGTTGCCATCCTGAATGTAGTGGATTCGACTGGAATTCGAACCCGGCTCTCTGATTCCTCAATCCAAGCCGCTATTCCACCGTGCCTGAGGTTCCTATGTAAAACCCTGTTAGTATCATCATACGTACTTTTAAATAGGGGAGATCAGTCTGCGTTACTGATAAATAACCTCAAGTCTTGGTTTAAAGTTTAAAACAGAAATTATTAGAATGTACGATTTAAAAACAAT